AATTATAGAGTGTACTATTATTTTCCCACCTGGTTTTTTAATGTTGATTTACTTTTGGGAAAAGGTAACCACATATTGAAGTCTGCTGTGTTTTTTGTTAACACCTGAGAGTATTTTATTTGTACAGAGGTTGGTGAGGTCCACACAATTGTTTTTTAGCCCTTGATGAATAAAAACATAAAAACATAGACTTGAAGATGGGTCTACTTTCTGTCTGAGAAGTTGATTACCTATTTATCACAGCTTTAATGACTGTGCAGAGACATGGTTGCTCTATATGTCATGATGAAGTTAGTCAGTGAAGAGTCAGAACATAGTGCACAGTGACCACATTGCTTGCAACTTGCAGACTGATTTGGCAATGGGAGTATAGGCAGCTAATAACAGTAGTATGGCTATTTATTTAAGGCTGGACCAGTCTGTCTCTTAAATTCTGAGGCCATTTAAATGTTGTCAAATGATTTCCTGAGCTGATATGGTTTTGAGCACATGTTGGTGTTGAAAAGTTTTGATGGCAGAGGAGATTATTCTGGCTCTCTATGGGCTAAGGTTATATACTGTATATAAGGTAATGCCACTGCTTGAAGTTATGAAGCTGGGTTTGTACAGTATATAGCTCTCAAACCCCAAATCCCACCCTTTTAACTTAGCTACAATACAGAAAAAGTTAGAAATAATTTGCACACCAAAAAAGAGAATGTGTGAAAACTCAGTAAATGGCTCTCTGATAGGCTAAGGTAATTTAATCATGATAGAGGGTAACTCCACTGTTTTATGCACTTTTGTTTTTTAGCTTTTGTCTGAGCCTGCATGACAATACTGCAGTTTCAAAAGCTAAAAAATTCAAGTTTTGCAAATGAGCTATTTTGTGTGATTACAGTAGAGGCTGTCTCTGTGCTATTTTTATTCACTCAATACTGTTCCACTGTGAACGAAACATAATTGTTCATTGGTTATACAATTGCTCAGTGACTAGAATGTATCTTTTCTACAAAGTGATTTTGGATTTAAAAAAGTATGCAGTGGGACGGCCATTATTTTTTTCCACCCATAGCAAGACATAGCATGAAACAAGGCATAGACATTGTAATCTAATCCAAATACTTAAAACTGTCCAGATACAGGAAAGTTAATATAAATGAGGTCATTTTCTTTTCCTCTTAAGATGTTCCTTTAAAAATATATAATAAATAATGAATAAAGTCATCAGTCTGTCTTTATAGTCCTAGTCCACTGACTTCTTATTCTGATGTTTTATTGTATATTAAATATTATAACCACACGTAAACCTCTTGTCATATCTGGAATAATAATGGTCACATTCAAAACCCCTCTGACGGAAAGAGCCATATCACACTTGCACATAAAAATAGTATAGAGATGTCAAATAAAAACATATGTAAAAGCATGTGCATATAAAGGTGAAAAAAACCTTTACCTGCTAGTGGTTTGTAATGCTGGGAGATAGCTGATACTGGTATTCATTGGAGAATGAGAAGATGAGGTTGACGGCCAATACCAAGATATAATCAGCTGCACCTTCAGTCTGATTATGTACAATAGAAGTGAGAATTTACAAGGAGTGAGAAATAATTTGCACACAATCAAAGAAAAGGTGTGGCGACTATGCAAACCTTTTTTTTTAAAACAAACTCCCACCCCCTAACCAAGTGGGCTTGTGGTTTGTTATATAACAGCTGTATGGTTGGTTGCTCTCGAAACTTTAATGTCAGAGCCCACATTGTCTGCAGGTACGAAGTATCATACCACATATGCAAGTTTTAAAAAGTGGTTCGGACCAGACCTGCAGGCACATACAGCTGGAGGCCTGCAGAGCTATGCTTGCAGAACTGTGCATGAGGAAATGATACTGCTGACATCTGTGCAGCCTATGCTGACATTTGTCTCAAATTACCACAGAGTTTAAGAAGGAAATTACTTTTGCTGTGTAGTTAAAAATGTTTCCTAATATCTAAAGAGCAAAATGAGATGGAACTGTTGAAGTAACATTTTTATGCTTCATTCTGAGCCAGTCCGTAGCTGAACAATCACTAGTTTGTTATTCAATAGGTTGTTGTTGTATGACACAAAACAAACTAACTTTACATACTTTTTTTCTATTTTATTGTTATCTATACACACACACTGAAAATCATTTTCATATTTCCATAATTACTTCTTTCTATCATTTTTACACTGTTATACTGGAATTTCATTACAATATTTGCTTCATTGATGACATTTTCAAAAGGAATCATATTATCTGATTTTCCATATCAGTTGAATGCTTCAAAATTTAATAATGACTTAGATAGCCCATAACATGCTCATTTCCAGCCATTTAATGTTTAATCTTGGGTACCTCTAGATTAGCTTCGTACTCATCATTACTCCAAATAGTATGTAATTATTTCAGAATGATAAAACCAGAGAACCTCTTCCTAAAAATGAGAGGATAGTTCATGAACGCACACAACTCCTGCTGCCAGTGTTGTGTCCAAAGTGAACAGCACAACAGCACTAATTAATTGGAATTTCTCCTCTATAGATCGGTAAACAATGGTTTATGTACCGATGGAAAGATATGTGTAATACTCTAAACAAAGTGGGTATGTGAGAAACCCCATATTTTAACTGCTATAATGCTGTAGGTCTTTGGTTCTTGTTACCATTGCTAACAATGAACAAACCAGCACAGCATTCAAAAACAGAAAAAAAAGTGTGTTTCATTAACCTTACTGTTTTGGATCCAATTTAGAACGTCGAGAGTGGGCAGCCCACACATCAACTTTAATTTAGAATTAATTCAATGTGCGGAGTTTATATATAAACCAAAGGTTCCGCTTACCTATAGTTTCTGGCCGGCCCGTTGATGTGTGGGACTGTTCACAACTGTGACTGAAACCAGGGGGTCACACTCTCATCAGGGAACACCAGTCAGATCAGGACCGCATATCGGATCTCCAGCTCAGCGGGAAAATGAAAGATGCTTGAGCGTCTGTGTAGGCCACAGTAATGTTATAGCCTCCAAAAGTCTAGAAAAACCATGAACCGTTGTTCAATAATAGTGAATGGTGCAGGACTATGGCTCTTGTTACCATTGCTAACTCTGAGAGACGAGACAGTCCAAGTAACTTCAAAACAGTGCTGATTTATTCAAAGGATCACAGGTAAAATTAACATTACACGCTCAGGTATCATGCACCTCCAAACTGCTCGCAGGCAGATGTAAGATGAAAGACCCTGAACCAAACCAGGCCTATACATTTATCTCTTCGGTTGGGCTAGCCCCATACTACACTGGAACATCAACCGCGACTTGTTCTTGGTGCCAGCTTTGCAGCTGGCCATAGCAATAGTCAAAACATGAAGCAAATCAATGTGTGTGTCTGTTGATTAAGTGGTGTGTAGCTAAAAACATTCTCACAAATAATGGTATATGAACTGATGAAAAGAGATGTGTAACACTCTAAACAAAGCGGGTAAGAAACCTCATATTTTAACTGGCATAACAAATATAGTAACTTCTCCAGCCTTACAACAATTGTCTCTAACCTTACAGTAACAAGGCATTAACACACATGCAAATAATAGAAACATCACTACCTTTCAAATATTTCAATAATCTCATTTGGCTACCAAAAAAATCAACATGATACAGCAAAAAAGAATTTAACTTTCAATATCAGTTGTTGAGCATTAAAGCATTAAGCGTAATACTGAAATTTGTTAATACATGTGAAAAAGCATTAACAGACATGCAAATAATAGAAACATCACTCCCTTTCAAGTGGCTCCAAGTTCGGTAAATCCAACCGGTGGTCACTGAGTCTTCCCCAACATGACCACATACATTCCCAATGTAGTGAAATTAATTCCAACAGGTAGAGTAGCTCCGACAATAACATCATGGACCGTTAATCCACTCCTTAACCTGCATCACATCACATGCAGCAGACACACTGGCCTCAAGCAGTCAAAACAAACAGGTACTGTGCTCCAGGGGAATCCAGGGTTGATGAGTCATTTAGCTCCCCAGGGGGCTTCACTGGCCAGCTGCTTGTAGGTTAGACCCGGTCAGGTAAAACAGCGAAACCCTATACAGGAACATTCCTGGACATGTAGTAACCTCAGGCCCTATATTTTTCTCCACATCCTCTGGTCACAGGGCAGCAGGAGGATAAGTCAGAAAACTAGGGAAAGCATGCCATGGGCTCTTTAATGTTTTCCTCTTAAACCTCACTTTGTCATGGTCTTGGTCCAACTTCCTGTTTTGTGCTGTTATTTTGAAGTTGTTTACTGTATGTTGCTTGTTCACCATCCTCATCTCCACCGATTGCCTCACTGCTTACATCTGTTGCTCATTATCCCACCCAGGGTTAGTCTTTGTAATTACTTCTCCTCCCTCAGCCTATTTGCTGGTTCATCTGCAGTACACACCCTGCTTCACTCCTGTTTTTTTGTTCCTGCTTTGCTGAAAATGGTGTGATTGCATCTGATAGTAGTCATATTCTTCTTCATCCTTCTTGCTTCTGGTGTAGGTTATTTTTTTCCTCTCTTGATGTGACTCTTTGGTAGCAAAGCTCAAAGTATGGATTAGTGCTCCTGTACTTGCCTCTTTATATGTGGCTTAAGCTCTCCTCCATAAGGAGGATCGAATTTCCACCTTGAGACAGCCCATGATGAGGATTCTCAGGATTAACAACCCCAGCCGTATCATGAGATAGGGCCCAGTGGTTTTGGTGGCGTCAGACAGTTTGTCACCACAGTTGTTCCTTCTTCCTTTTTCATCAGTAACTTCCTTAGGGTCCCTAGAGCTCTAAAGCAGAGCTTTCATGATCACCACAATGCAGCCACCCTTCATGTGGTTGTTAGCAGGTGTTTTTATTATGCATTATGTTATAACCCACCTATGAGAAGCCATCAGCCTCTTGCCTTTCACAGAGAGTCTGTCTAGAGGTGTGTCCCTCTATCCAAAGATGCTCTGCTGTCAACACCAACAGGACAAATCACCTAGTAAACCATATTCTTTAAGTCATATTTTTTAGCAGTGTCCTACCATAGCCTTTTGATCAAGGCTCAGTAGACCTCTGCAAAACCAGGTTTTTCAACTTTTCTCTGTTTAGGTTTTGATCTAGGTGTATATCAAGTTTCTTCCAATCAGCTTCTTGTACATACTGTTACTATCATAGCTGCCATCATGGTCAAAGGTCAAGGTCAAAGTGTTTATTTGTCATATGCACAGTTAGGAAACGTGTTTCCCTGTACAATGACATCCTTACTTTGCCGTCCACATGAATGCCACATAAAAAGTGAAATATAAAGTAGATGAGCAATAACACAAATCTAAAGCACTTTAAAGCAGCAGGTGAATGAAGCAAATAAAAATACAACCTACCAGCCATCCCAAACATTTTGCCATCCTGAAAGCTCCCTTCCATGTTGTCTGGTTAGTTCAACTGTGCATTCAGTCTTTTTGTCCTAGCAGATCATTTACCATGGCTGAGGGGTCAGTGTGACAGCTGGTCTGAGATCTGTCCATAGGTACCATTCTGCTAGCCTGTTTCCAAAGTACACAGTTGCTATACATTGGCATTTCAGCCAGTAGTTAGTAGCCATTTTTAGGTAAAGGTGGTTTTGAGCACATGTTAGTGTTGAAGAGATTTAATTATATTCAGTAGACTGAGTGATTAATGGAAAAGGGAAATACTTAAGTTATGAGGGTGGACTTGTGGGAATCACACATGCAAGGTGACTCGAGCCAGACCTACAGGCACATATAGCTAGAGGCTTACGGAGCTCTGCGTGCAGAGTTGTGCTTTTTTGTGATACTACTGACACTGAGTCCAGCCTAGACTGAGAGTTGTCTCAAAACAGCACCGTGTCTAGGAAGCAAATTACTTTCTCAGTTTAGGGGAAAGTTCTGACTAACATCTGAAGATCACAGATCTGAACATTTTGTGCCACACTTTTAGTCAGTCATAGCTGAACTGTAAGATCCTCTTCTTGTCAAATAGTTACAAGCTGTGAAGCTTGACTGACAGGAAATAGCTTTGTCACCTCAAGGTAATGGATGGCAATGTTCTACTGTGTCAAGAGGCTTACTGCAGCTTGTAGCATTGCACACACACAACACTTACATGCAGACATGCCTGAACGAACAGTGTAAGCGGAGCAAAGATCTGAGCGTTTTTTTCCACTCTTGCTATCAAAACATTAAAGGGGGAGAAATCGGGTTTTATTTTCTTTATTTTGCTTTACTTAAAAAATACAGCTTTACAAGTTACAAGCACAGTTTGAATTATGTGATTTGAACAGATGTTTCATAACATTCTACATATTTTCCAAATGAATCATTCCTTTGCTACTAGGAATAAGCTGAATACAATTTTACAGCTCTAGAAGCTCCGTGCACACACACACACACACACACACAAAACTGCTGTCTTCGTAGTTTCTAAATTTCAGTGAAAAAAGAAAGACAACATCACTGCACCCACCTCCACCACACAGAAGCATGGTATGTTTAATAATCTGATCTTACAGGTGTATTGGAAGTCTCTGTTGTGTCTCTGTAACTGAAAGCCTAAAAAAAAGCAGGAATACTTAGTTAGCACTTTGCCCATTGATTTTCTATACTTCTCCCCTACAAATGCATAGATGACTGGATTTACACAGCAGTGAGAGAGTGCAATAATCTCAGCATAGGTCAAGGCAGAGTTGATGGTTTTTGAAGCCTCGCAGGTGTTCAGAATATCAAATAGCTGCAGCGTCTCAAGGAATATCATGACATTATAGGGAACCCAGCACACCACAAACACACACACTATAGTAAATATCAGCTTTACAGCTTTGCCCTTATTGGAGTTCCTGGATTTGGAAAGCACAAGAAGGATTTTCACATAGCAGAAAATTATGATGGGAAGGCAGACAAAAAGACCCACTGAGTTCTCACTGAAGTTTCGCAGCATTTTCCAAAACTGCTGACTCTCATGTGGGTATAGCCGCTGGCACTGCTTTACGCCTTCTTCATTCTCCACGTTGGCAAATACAACCTGAGGGATGGCCATGATGACAGATACAACCCAGATAATGATGCTAGCTGTGATCCCATAGCAGAGTGTCCGGGCACGCATGGCTGCTACTGCATGGACGATGGCCAGGTAGCGGTCCACACTCATTAGGGTCACAAACAAAGTCCCACTGTAGAAACCCAGCTATTGAGAGGGGCAGAGGAGGAAGCATAATCAGGACAGGACTTGACATTTGTCCAGCTTTACCAGCTTGAGTGAGATTCACTTGGGGACAGCTGTTGTTACTTTAGAAAACAGCTGATCTGTCATTCTGGTTATTGGCAGAAAATGTCCCCCATTTTAAGGAAAGGATACTCAACATGTGGTTGAGAAGTACAGGTTGCTGGCAGTATAGAGTAAAGAAAGGTAATTACTGTTGAGTAAAATTGTTAACAAAATAATACATTAGGATTAGGTTTAATATTAGACTGAATTAAGAACTTAGTTAGTAGAAGATTGACACTATGTTTGTTGATTAGTTAACTTGTTTGTTTACTTTGGGTGCGTATGATTATTTTATCATATTAAGAAAATGAATAGTTAGGATTTAGTTTAGAGCACACATAAGTTTGCCTACTTATATGTTACAATTATGTTTACATAGTTAGTTGAGTATATCATTCTATGTGTTCACTGAAT